TCCACAGAGTCTATATACTGCAAACCTGATACTCAGTCCACTAAGGCCTCCCCACCCCTCGTGATGCAAGTGTTTAAATTTAGATTTTTAAGAGACAAATTTGAACTGTAGGCAGACAAAAAACACCGATTTATACTCCCTCCATCCTTGTCTACTTATCTATTTAGGATTTCTTGAAAATGAGCCCATTGAGACCTCACTATTCTGCAAGTAACTAAATTAGAATATAATAAATCAGAATAAAAAAAAAAGAGACCATAAGTGAGCAGTCTGATTAGCTCGGAAAACTCACTTGGGTAATAACAACAACCACAGTCCCCAAATACTATTTAGTTTCAACTCTTCATTCTTATTGCATCAAGCACCTTTATATGTACAGGAAGCAATGGTTATCCAAACTATACATCTAACCCTTGAACCTGTCAGGCTTACCCTTATCACCCTCATCAGTCAGGACATCTACACAGACTTTGACAGCTTGTGCCAGATCTAGCTTGAATCACATACCTCCCTCTAATGTTATCATTAGCCTGAAAAATATCATTTTTCTAATTGTTGCTTGACCTAGATATAAATAGAGAGCCTCTACTTCCATCAATTTTGAAATGACAGGACTCTTCTCCTTTCACTTGAGGCATAATTATAGGACACGTTTTCAGCAAGTTGGAAAAGGAGCATAGCTTAAATGACAAACAGCAACTAGCAAGTGACTGAACTCTGCACCCACTTCTGTAAGTTTGGCCCTAAACCAAGTGCTTAGCCATACAGAACTGAACCTTGATGTACATCTAATACTACAGAAACCCCAGAACATTTAGCTATCTCTTCAGCTTACAGATGTCTACCCTCCGATCTAAGGAGATTAAAGCTCCCAGCTTATATTCACCCCCTTGCCCTTCTACACTCGGTGGCTATTGAAATTTGCCTAAAATGCCCACGCTAATTAATCAGTCACTTTTTTGGAGGTTTGTTACTCGAGTCTTGTAATATTAAAGCATCAACTCCTATAGTCACACAAGCATCTCATCTTTCTTTTAAAGAAAAAAAAAAAAACTCTTGGTTTTGGAGGGAAAGTGTTTTTCAAAACAACTTCCAAAGATGATTCTAGCTGCTTCCAATGACAGTGGATTAATTCAGGCAAAGGTCTGCAATGGCCTTGCAAAGTCTTCAATCATATGGAAGGGAAAACTTCACAAAACCAAAGCCTTCTCTTCCTTTTATGGGTAATCCAAGCTAGAGCACACATGTCCTCAATTCATTCCTGGCCTACTTCTATAACTTCATTAAGGAAATCTGAAAGGACTGCAAGGCTGACAAAAGCCATTATAAACACATTAAAAGTACATAAACCAATAAATGACACATTCATCCAGTCTGAACCTAGATGTTTGAGCTTCAATTTATATTCAACTTAAAAAAAAATATGGCAATGCCAATTTTTTTTCCTTTTGAGGGGGAAAAAATGTAGGCTGTAGCTGAAGCCATATTTTTCCATAGTAATATTCCCAGTCCAGACACAACACACCAATATGCTGAGATTTATTCGCTGTATGCCATTAAAGTTTTGCAGTTACATTCTTTTTACTGTATTAACAGTTTCTGACTCTGGTCATGTTTATACTTATTCTTTTTAAGAAAAGCTCTCTCATTTTGCTGCTACTGGCATCAATGAAGGACACAGTAGTATTGACATAGTTGGCCACTGGCATTTTTTTAACAGTGTGCACTGTAGACCTACTATCCTTACTCCCAATGGAAAGGAGGGGTCATCACTAAGGAGAACTATTCTACAGTTGCTTGGGGATGTAGGGGGATGGTTAGGAAGGCCAAGGCAGAGATGGAACAGGGGCTGGCTTCCCGGATTAAGGACAACAAGAAGTCCTTTTTTAAGTACATAAGGAGAAGAAAGAAGGCCCTAGGAAATGTGGGGCCCTTGCAGGACAAGACAGGGAATCTGGTTGTCACGCCAGACGACAAAGCCAACATATTTAATAACTTCTTTGCCTCTGTCTTCCTCAGTAAGGACCAGAACTGCCACCTCCCTGCTGGGCCCCCTTCGGGCCCCGGGGGAGGCTCACCTGGGCCTAGAGTGAGTGAGGATTTAGTTAGGGAGCTTCTGGAGGGGCTGGAC